TGAAGTAATGGAACAATTAAAGATGAGGAGTACATCAACAACCAATACAAATCCGTTGTTATCGTTCAACTGCTTGGACTAGAATGATACCACCCAATTCACAAGATATGGAGAATATGATCAAATAATTCAATTTTGCTGGCCACCAATCCCACTTGTTTTAGTTTCGATTATTCGTAATTGCTGTCAAAATGAAACGCTCAGGAAACCACTCTTTAACGTAATCAATACAGACGCGGTTTGTGTGGGTTGCTTTGCTGCGCGTGATACGGGGAATACCAGATCATTAGTAGATTAGGGCTCTACAGATGTCGTATGGAAGATTATGAAACGTTATATGTAATTAAAAAAAAGGAAACACATTATTGTTGACTGTCACGTGTTTGCTTACACTGAATTTAATCAACATTTGGTATTGCGTACGACTGTTTGTACATGTAATTATACTAATTATATGAGTGCCTGTTAAAGCAATGGCGTGCAGTAATAACAAGAAATAAACATGGAAAAATGGGAGACAACTAGTATGTTTGAAGAAAAAAAACTCACAAATATAATAGTTACTTCTTTAATATCATTCAGCTTGCTGATAAGTAAATATTAGTCACCATTAAATATTACTGTTGTCGTGGGTTGTTTTACTAAAAATGTATAAAACCAGGTTTGTACTTTTGGGAATTTTTTTGACACAACTCAACATTTTGGATTCATTTTATATTTTCAAACATGATCAGTTGCTTTATGTTTCATTTCAGTCCAATCACCTTTTTATATCAATGCCGTAGTTTGAAATAATAGAGAAAGAAAAAAAAATCTGTGACCGATAAAAAACATTTCAAGGGAATTATTATAATCGCATCTTTGCCGTGGTAACCTCATCAAGCCACCCGTCAATGTAAACACGGACGCTGTCCCTCTTGCGTCCTCCTCAATACAATCTAGACCCGATTTATGAAATAGAAAATGAGTTGAGGGCGATGTAAGCTCTATCTTTGGCGTGAATCGTACCCCCTCTCTAGGGCCATTGGCCGCTCCAATTAGATAATGCCGCTAAGTATCTCAGCCAATCTCAACCAACGACTCGTGTTTTTGCAAATGAACCTCTCATTCTGAAAGCTCTTTATCTACTTCTCTCTCGTCCTCGTCCCTCTCTATCCCCTCCTCTCTCTCTCTCTCTCTCTCTCTCTCTCCCTTCTTCTCCCTCTCTATCTTCATCTCCCTTCATTATTTTATTTTCCCTCTCTCTCCCTCTCTCTGTCTGTCCTCACTTCCCCTCTCTTTGACACCCTCTCACCTCTCCCATTCTTAGATATTTTTGTTCTCTTTCTCTTTACCTCTTTCTATCTCTCTCCTCCTCTCTCTCTCTCTCTCTCTCTCTCTCTCTCTCTCTTTTCGCTCTCTTTCTTTCCATCTCTCTCCGATAATAATTCTATCTTGTATTACACCCATTTCTCCTCTCACCGGGCAAGTAGGTCATATTGAATCGGATTAACTCAAAATCGGATGAATTCTTTATACCCAACTCCAGAAGTGGATTTGGAAGGGGAAAAAACCCAAGATGCGAACAAATGAAAGGGAAAAGTGAGCAAAATAGGCGAGAAGGGTGTTGGAATTGCGTGAATAGGAACCCTATATCGGTGACAAAAAGGGAAATTGATACTGGGTGCTAATGAATTAAGACAAGTGCTCTAGCAGTCGGCCAATGCTGCCATACAATTTTCTCCTCCGCAGTCGACCCGGCACCCGCGAAGATAGCTACAGCGCAAAGCCTAGTTTTTAATTTCCATCAATCCAATAACGGGCTCATTCTCTTAGGGATGAGGTGGGGGGAAAGGCGCCAAAGAGGTTAGCCAAAAAGTGAGAAAGGTACCCGCATGTAGAGAAGAGAAGAAGCAAGATGAAGGGGGAGATTCGAATGGCAGCCATATGTCATAAAAACGGGTTCTTAAAAAGATTAGCAACGTGCGGCCCTGTATTTAACAATCGCCGCAGATTAATGTCACAGAAAATTTCCGAGATTAATTTGTCAGAGGCGAGTAATTTTGTCATCGATCCCCTGAAAAGAAATTGAAAATAGCGGCGAGAGGATGGGCCCGAGAAATAATTTTAACTACGATACTTAATTAGAAAAAAAAGTATGAAGCGAAGGACTAATGACATTTTCCAACTTTTATCAAAATAACGACTCATTTGCGCTTTTACCTTGTTTTATTAAAAATGGTAGTTTGACTTCTGAAATGAATGCACAAGTAACGTCACTCGATCATCCCTAGAGCATCTACTTTAGTCGAGCTACAGGGTCCAATGATCAGGCAGTTGTTTTAACAAAAAAGTCTGCTTATTTGTAATGAAACTAAAATTAAATATATTCGAATTTGGTATGGTTTACACAAATTTTCAGTCGGCAATGTCGAAAATGTTACCTGCTCTTTTAATTTCACAATAACACGTTAAAATAATAATGGGAATGGAATGTCTTGTAATGGGGGGGGGGGGGAGAAGTTCCTCTTTCTTTTTCATCAATACTTATGTTTCCCTCCGTGACATGACCCAATCCTTTCTCGTCAGCATTCTAACGCTCCTACATACAGTTGACACCCGGAATAACATATTTGTGCTTCATTGCATCCTGGTAATATTTGTGACGGGCTTGACCGCTAGTTACCTACGCTTACCTTTCTGACTGTTTATCGGGGAGCTCCCGGGGTCAGGTACGAAAAGCTCGTCGCTCGGGGGCCTGTTTTGTCGAGTTCCAATTTCATTTTTGCCTTCCCTCCGCCTCTCTCCCACACTCTCTCCCTCTCTCTCCCACTCTCTCCCACTCTCCCCTTCTCTCCATCTCTTTCTTCATGACTCTTTTCATCCCTCGCTTACTCTTTTTTTCCCCTTGCAATGAAAATGGACTGTATGTCTCTCACCTCAGTGTTGTTTGAATTAGGTCAGAGCAAGGAAGCTGGGCATAAAGCTATTTTTCCGCGCCGTTCGGTAGTTTTTCCCTTCCTCTAAGTCTTCTCACTCACTCACTCACTCACTAACCTCCCGGTTGCCCCCCCCCCCCTCCCACACTCGCCCTTCATCATCACTCACTTTGCTGGTGTGATTTTCCTTAACCCTTCCACTGTCTATACTGCTTTTTGTACGACGAGAAGAAAACCCCAGGAAACAGCAATACATCTTGACAAACGGTATGTCAAGTCATAAGCTAGCCTATTGCCGTTCTCGACGAAACCCTCGCCATTTCCATTCACCATAATATACACCAATTTCCACCATTTTATAGATGACTTACGAAATTCTGTTTTCTTAAGCAGTCTCGTACATCATCCCCCCCCCCCCCCAAAAAAAAAAGTACATCAATATTACAATAATGGCGAATAGAACAGGTGTATGACGATGGCAATGATGACGATGAAGACTACTAATAGGAATTGCAATTAAGAGCAGTGATGTTAACATTGTTACTTATAAATATTCGCAGAATGTCAATAGACTTTAACTGAACTGTAGGTATAACAATTATCTGCGTTTAACATTCCGTACAGTTGAAGTCCAATGCAAAACGAAATCCCATGAGAACCTCATAGTGGGATGTGCTTTGCCATGTATAATACACAGTCGAAGAAGAAAAAGGCTGTAAACTTTTGTTCCACTCTTGCCCAACGGCGAAACCTGGTCCAACAATAGCCCACCGATACTCGGGACCATTTCAGCAAGGGGGCGACCCCGGTTAAAATCGCACCCCTCGTGAACTCTTTGCCCTCTTTTATCCGCTCTTGGCCACGGCTAGTGCTATTGTAGAGCCCAGACTTTATAACCTTAAAGAAAAAACGGTAAAGAGTTGGGCTTTGGAGAAAAAAGAATTAAAGACTTTTCAAACAATGAGTACTTCCTCTTTCCCAAATTTTCTACCAGGCTCTCCAAGCTACGATGTTACTCATTGTAAAACATACCCTTTTTTGTTTCTGTTTTTGTTTCCAACTTATTATGAACTTGTCCTGACCTTATGTTAAGTTGAGTATGAGCATCAAAACATTATCCTTTTTCTTCTACTTCTTCTTCTTCTTCTTCTTCTTCTTCTTCTTCTTCTTCTTCTTCTTCTTCTTTTTCGAAATTTCATCCAGCGTGCTGTATGGTCTTCCACAAATGACCGGTAGAAGAATGGATCTCGTTTACCAAGTCCACACTCCTCCAACACCCTCATTCACGACCATTTCGGTCATTATGATAATTATATCCCTTCGCTATCGATTCGTTCTTTAGACGAGCTGCTCGTGAACGGCGTGACGATCACGCCAGCCCACCCCAGGGACGGTCCGGGAGTTGGGCCTGGGACTGGGGTAGCCCGAACGGCAAACATATCCATATCACCCGTAACTGGTGATATCATAATCGAGACAAACGATACGAGCTTGCTATACTCGGCCGCATTAGTTGTTATCGAAAGCCCCCCCCCCCCCCTCCCAACAAAAAGTAGTGATTATGAATAAATTCAAGGAGGCTTATGTAGGAAATGCATGCAAAAAAAAAAAACGAGGACCCCAATCCCCCCCCCCCCCCCTCCCATTGACCCTCCCACAAAAAAATGATCAATGCATAAAAACCTTTTCAAAGAGAGCCTATACTCTGGAAAGAAATGTTAACATAATTATAAAAAAAAAATCGCTGTGATATTCGTCGAGGCTAGAGGTTACATTTTTTTTTTCATTTCCACCCAGCAGAAAAGAAACTTGTAAATAATGCGTTAAAAGACACAGAGTAATGGTAATGGTATCCAAAGCTTAAATACTGTCACTGCGGTAATGATGACATGTAGGCTTCTCAAAGCTATGATGGATATTACGATCTTCAAATTAAGAATGGCAAACATTATAATTTTCTTTCACCACGAATGTTTACTGACTAATGCTATTTATTCAACCATTTCATTTGTCAGTGCAATCAACAGGTTCAACGCTTCACATCCATTTATCTACTTTCCTTCTCATTTCTTCCTAACCCAGGCATCAGACAGAAGAACGAAAACGCGAAAGATGGTCTGGTCTCTAACGTCACATCGCCAAACGATGTCTTCTGTTCAGTTCCGGGTCGTCTCTCCCTGCTCAGCTCAACGTCCAAATACAAGGTCACCGTAGCGGAAGTACAACGTCGTTTATCGCCGCCAGAATGTCTCAACGCGTCACTGTTAGGCGGCGTCCTAAGGAGGTATAATAAATTGTTGTGTGGTGAATTTGTATACACTTACGTATTTGAAGGAGGGCTATAGGGGGCACTTCCCCCACCCTGCTCTTGACATATGCCTCATTAAGAAAAAGAATACCAGACTCGGTAGTAGTAAGCAGGTTAAGAATCATTATAAGTCAATTAAAAAACGCACGAGGTGTAGACATATTCCCAAAGTACTAACTTTCTCTACCCCCACCCCCCCCCCCCCCCCATGAAATGGGTACGGAAAAGATACATTTCTATGAAATTACAAATTATACAAACTATTAAGTCCACGGAAAGATGATCGGCAATCCAAGTTGGCCTGTTTTAGCCAGTATTTAAAAAAACAACTATAATCTAGCTCGTACATCATCATAATATTGTTGCATTTAAGAAACTCTTTGGAATTAAAAATAATGACCGTTTGTTATCTTCAGTATTAAGAGTAGTAGTAGTAGATATCAAAATAGTGGGCATATTTAATACAACGATGCTCATTAGTTCAATCTATCTGAAGCCTAATTAGTATCAGTTCCATGTTTAATATGAGGACTAAAATCCTACTCATAATAATATAGTTCTATATTTCAATGAGCATCTGGGAGCACTGACCTTCCTAAACACGATGCCTTCGACAGTTGGTATTATTAATATATGTGCGGTTTTTATATTATGATTAATAAGACTAATGAAGTGCAATGCACATCATTAAAAATATGATATAGATCAAGGGGAATTTTTCAGCGGAAATTACTTATCATAATGTTCAGAATTTCTTGTACTTTTGTGAATGACATACAATAGAGCTCCAAAGGCTAATAAATGACTAGAAAGTGTAGCATTCGTCGAACAACTCCAATATCGAGAAAGAATGCTAAGTGGCAAGGTTCATTGGCTTATTATTCAGACAAACCACAAAGCCAAAACAAGAAAGAAAAGTTCCCTGTTCCATTAAATTATAACAGCCCTGTTAGGATTCAATAATCCCGCTCCAATAATACAGCTGCATTACGTCAAGTGCGTAGTCCCATTAATTTGTCATTTTGCTGGTGAACGCGCTGAATGAGAGAGTTACCCGTATGAAAACCACAACATGGAGCGGTGAGCCTCACAAGTGCGCCCCCAAAATGCTCTCCTATGACCCGCGACGACCTCAAATACTAAGCTCCCTAAAGATATTCGGCGCCATAGCTTGAACGTTTAAAGCGTTCGAGAGATAAAAATGATTTTATATCAGACTTGACTTGGACAGACAACTTGGACAAGGTGAATTTAAAATTGACACTTTTCAATTTTCAGACAGACGAGGCTTGTTGACTTTTCCCATGGTTTCATAATTGGTGAGGCTGTTAAAGTGGAGACAATTACAGTTGATGATGTAAATCATAGTTAATGAATAGTTTGTAGCATTTGATATATTGGCATTGAATTATCTGAACAAGAAAATGTAAGCTAGTTATTCAGTGATATCCATTTTTAATATTCTGCATTTAATTCCTTTAATAAATACACTGACTGTATTTGCTACATAATTAGATGTATAAACGCCATAGCAGCACGTGTTGTAATCCATTATGACTCATAGCTGAGATGTTTTTCCAAACCTAGGCCACTGCATTGCCTCATGATTATTGTATTAAATTGACAACGCGAAAGTTATTATCATTATTGTACATTAGGTTTTACCCCTCTTGATGGATGTTATGGAAGGATCTTGTTTCGTTTGATCACCCAGAATAGCTCCCCTAATTACTTATAGGTGGGACCGTGGGATGGGCAGCTGATAGAACGCGGGTTTAAAAATCATCGAGGGCAAAAAAAAACAGAGTCACATTCGAATCCCTCCCATTGTATGCCGTGGTTTTAATTGTCAACGATCAAATAGATTCCAAGTTCTTTGAGGTACTAACGATGTAAACTCTATCGTTTTCAATGACATTGGCAGCGATTACACGCCGTCATTTGCGCAGATTGACCCTCGATTCTGAAAAGAAAAGCTCGCCCAACCATTTCAAATTGAGTGCGTCGAACTCGCGACAAAAGATGATGGAAAAAATGGAATATTTGGTGGCTTAGTAGAGATGTGGAAAATAGGTCTCAATACGACGAACAATAGGAGCCAAAAGTAATACGTTTTGCTAGAGTGGCTCTCATGAAAGGCAACGCGAAAATACCGTGCTAACCAGCAATATTTGAATATCGAATCGGTCCTGAAGAAAAGAAAGAAAATGATGGATGTACGCAATGAGGGTAGAACTATAGAGATCAAAGTCGAATATAAAACCTGTCTGTGTATTGACTGGCGAATCTTCCTACTTGATTTAGATAGACTTTGGCAAGAGAGCTCTTACTACAACATCAAGAGCACAACAAAAAAACGAAACAGGGGCTTTTTAATAGCGAGTGGAATTTGTTGCAATTTCGGGATCATTTCTACCTCCCGGCTAGAAATAAGCTTAATAGCCATTTATCATCTTTGTACAAAGAATCAATAGTTGTCTGTATTGGTATCAATAATTGATTTATGCGAAAGTCTTTCGTTCATTATCACTAAGGCATTATTTTGGAAGTATCTAGTGGTTGCGCTAATCTGTTCTTAAAGTGCACTCCCTTTTAATAATCGAAATAAAACCGCAATATTAAGAGCGCATCTTCTAAACATCTGAGGGCTTGAATCAGGTCCAAATCGTATTCATGTCACAGAGGGAAATTAATTTATACTCTAGCTTTTGTATTTATTAAGCGGGGTATTTATGAAGTGTTCACTGTTTCCGCTCCTTCAAGGCACTTTGATTGTTATACTCATTATAAGTGAGAGATACTAATGAACTCTTAAACTATCTGTACCCTTTCCAACCCTTTCATATATACCTCCCCATCACGCAAAGAACAAAATGTATTACATCCTCTTAATAATTAACCCTGTGTATGCTTAGTAACATTTCGATGATCGTTGGAGCTAATTATGCAATATGACAACAATATTGACCACCTACCTTCATTCAAACTTGTATGATATGGGCATAATCTCATTTGTTGTATTACCTCTCCAAAAATAACAAATAAATAAGTATAGATATAGTTTATGAAATTAAATTAGTTTCTCAAGAAAAAAATGAAATATAAACATGCTAAATGAAGTAAGGGAACTTTTGATCTGGTTGTTTACAGCCCCGCGGCGCAATTGAGTTTTGGAAAGCAATACTCTTTATATTTTTGCAGTTCAAGATCAGCAATTGTTAAAACTTTGAGTTTGCTCTAATATCAATTTGGGGGGGGGGAATTGGATTTTCTTTGGATCATAACCGTTATTATCATTTTCAAAAGAAACATACTCCCTTGGTGTTCTGCGGCAAATGTTTTGGTATGAGAAAATTGTCGAGTTTTTAATCATGTTGCTTCTTTTATATATCTCATAATTATAAAATCTAGATAGTGTTGTATGTCAAATGTTTGGTATAGGTATTGTTTCATTTAGCGTATGTTTATGTAATGAGAGAAGAAAAGAAAAAACTTCTTTGGTGATGTATGTCAAATGTTACATGAAGTATAGGCCCTGTTTTCATTCATCCATTTTTCTTAGCTCAATGAAATCAATGTGGATCACAAGAAACAATGTACTATAGAGGGCGCAATACCGAATTATCACTCTGTGCAGAGTATCTTATGACTGCAATGACATTGATCACTGTGGCTGTTCTATCAGCCTCCAAACTAGGCTTTTTTATGGATAAATATGGTTGCAGCATATATTCGCATTATTAAGCCTTTACAGTACAACCCACAGAATGAAGTATGAAGATAGCTGATATGAATGCTTATGAACAATGATGTAAGATCATAAACTTGAATATACAATAATTGAGTTAAAAACAGTAAAGAATAGCTTACTATTTTAATAAAAACATAAATTAAAAAAAAGAATAGCTTACTATCATAAGTATCCTTCGTGTGAACCATAAATCTGATTTTCGTATCACAATCATATTTAATGTATTGGTGTTTAATATTAGGATATTAAAGCAGAAGAACTGAACTAAAACTGCCAGTATTGGCAATGTAGTCTTACTATTCAATACGGGGGTTTAAACGATGAAGAATGTCCTCGTTTGGAATGTAGAATATGAAAACAATAGTATACATTTTCGCGGCATGCGTTAGTCTTCAATATTCGGCAATCACAGCTTAAATTCTAAAATGAGCTGTTATACTAGATGAGACGCATAGACATTACCACTTAATAAATGGGTAACAGTCATTGAAGAAAAAGCCATCCTCCGTCTAGAATGTAGAATATGAATTTAACGGTACATGTATGTATATTTTCGCGGCATCAGTGTTCGATATTCGGCAATCACAGCAGAGGAGGATGACTCGCGTCATCGACGGAATCGAGGGAGTTCGCGGTCCATTTGTAGATGAACGAGTAGGGTTAATGGACCTCGCTACGGGCGAGACAGCTTCCTCGTCACCGCGACTCCGCGCTGACCCTCCTGACCTTTGAACCCTATCAAGGGGTCAAAATCAATATCGCGATGGATTCGAGTCATCAACATCATCATTATCTCCTTCTCCAAGTGCGCTCGTAATGTGTTATTGGCACCATCTATCTCTCCCTCTCCCGCTCTCTAACTCTCTCTCTCTCTCCCTCTCCCTCTCTCTAACTCTCTCTCTCTCTCTATCCCTCTCTCCCCTTCTCTCTCTCTCTCTCTCTCTCTCTCTCTTTACAACCGGTTTTCTCTGTAAGGGTTGTCTAATCAAAATGAATATCAGGCAGTGTTCTTTAATAGAAAATAGTCATTGATCAGTATTTCGAGGGTTTTCTTGGAATGGGTCCCTAGAGGGCGGCATCATTAAATTCATGCAACCGTGTTTTATCAATGAATGAGGGAATGGAAGTTTGGCACTCTGGGTAATAGCAGTTCCAATTTTTTGGTGAATTTATTTATTATTTAGAGATATGTTTCAATGATTTGTATCAGTCAATTATTTTGAATTAATGATTGGTAAATGCAATAGCAATTAAACAAGTTATTATTTTCATACCCACACACGCCGGTATTAATCGAGTTGTATGACATAAACATTGTGTTTTGGATGTGTATTGCTGACAGGTGTCACTTCAATAGATAGTGCCGGGATTTAATAATTAGGCGTGCACAATTTCAAGTGGTTTATTGTTTAATGTTTCCAGCTTCAACTACAATACAGGGAACTCTGTGAAATACACACTGCATGTTACGTTTGAAGGAGAAAGTAGGCTCTCATTTTTTTTTATAGATATTTTGGACACCGCCCCGCCCCGTCCAATCCCCCGTCCCCCATTTTTTGTCTGACACTCCTAGATGCGCCACTGCTGGATAGGGTATGAAAGAGAGCCTTGATATCAGACTATCTACAGGCGGAAGGAGGAAACCCTCGACCTAAATTAACAGCTAGGTACAGTACGGGTCTTCGGCATCGGGGATCATATCGGGTTACAGGAGAGCGCGCATCCCACTCGCACCTGGCCGGTGGGACCCGCTGTCTCGTCGGCTCCGATTCCCGTCTCTGCACGGGCCCGAGCGCACCGCCATACCAAGCGCGATCACCATCCAAAGACCACTGCCCGATTCGAGTTTCATCCAATAAGCACCTCCGCTCCCCGGGATAAGATAACAACTTCATTGACCTGAATAAGGTTTGGCAGAGGTGACCAGGCCGTATAGGTGTCGGGGTAAATTGCTCCTCATCCTACTCATAATTAGGCGGGAGGGGATTAATACACTATAGCTATGTAGGTAAATTGTATTGACATGGAGGGCTATCAGATACCGAAAGGTACTTTCGTCACCCCGGTCAGTGGTCCCACGAAGTATCCAATTTAGGCCATATTTATCCGTCCGCCGAACCCCTGAATCGAAGATGGCGTCATCTACCCCCGTCTCTCAGCTTTCTGTCAAGACATGGCTATATTAAGATCCATTCAGATCGAATGTAATAGAGAATACGTAATACGTGTGTAAAAGTTTATTAAGAGAAATATATGGGCTAAAATGTTTCAATACACTACCATACCGTGATGCAGAGTGGCAACAGCATAGTAGATAGTACAATCTTAATACATAGTAGATTGTACATTGATAGACTTCAAACGTCGATGCTATAGATATTCTCATAAGCATGATCTTTGCCGGATTCCTGGTTACACCATGAAGACACTCAACATTAAAAGGCAAAAATCATATTAATGGGGGAAATCGAAGCTGAAATGTATCATTTCATTAACAAACTGAGTAATTTGCAACCTAGCTTACACTCCAGAAATAGGACTACTGATTCAAAGAGAGCTTAGAATGATGAGTATGGCTACGAACTTTGGGCGCTCCTTTCGTGCTAATGGTAAATACATGGATTTTTTCCAATAATTATCACACTTAAATTACCGAATTGATCCTACGCCAAGTCAAGTAGGTCAGACTAATAAAGTATCAGGGTTTGTTCGTTGTTGCAAAAACAATAATGTGATGTAATGTAAAAATGAAAAACATGTACCGATCTTGTTTGCTTTTTTTCCTTCAAAAATACTCATAACAACATAGAGATTTAGAGTATAGGACACCAGCGAGAACGATTTACAACGGTTGCACGCGTCTACAAAATTCTAAGCTTTGACAAAGTCACGATATCTTGAGAGGCTTATAATTAACTTCTGCTACAATTTTACGAAACTTCAACTGAAAAATGGGCAGGTGGAAAGCCAACTACAAAAAGGAAATGGAAAATGATGAGCATCTTATGCAAACTTCTAAATCCTTCTTAGCTTTTCCCATTTGATTTCTTAAAGATTGTTGTCAAACGCAACCTAATTGCCGGAACAAGGTCCAAACAAAAAGGTTAAGTAGTTCTTAGTAGATGCTTTGTTGTTAGGAATAGGAGGTTCTTGAAAGGGCGACTAGAGCTCGTTACGTCATCCCCTACATGTTTTCCATCGATGAGAGCCGAAATAGGATTTTGTTACGCGTGCCTTTTCCCGCGTAATTCTTCAGCACCTTATTTAGGTTCGCTTCAAGAACATGAATGCGCTCGGTATAGAAACAAAATAACGAGCGGTCATTTATCTCTTTTTCTGAGCCTCTTTTCTCAGCATGTTGAGTACTGTTCATCTGTTCTTTTTTTCTTGTATAATACTTGTAAGTGTTGTTCGTAACTGCAATTCCTATTGTAGTGAACTTAATGAGCGGAAAATTGAGGAGAGTGCAAGAAAGACAAAATACGTTTCCTACTTGGCCACAATGCCCAACGGCCATTCATCGACAGCTTATTTTTCCAAGTGCCTCTTGACTTATATGTTCAATTTGGATTGGTTGTAATAAGGAAAATTCGTGGCAAGCCATAGTAAGGCTTTGCCCTTGTGTCATTTGTAAGAGTAGCAGTGTTTGTCTGAAAATGTGTGAGGGAGAATTATCTCAAAACCACACAGCGTGTTGCTCATCATGGTAATCGTCGCAAAATTATTTGACAAATAAATGCACGTTTATCGTGTTCAATCATTATTTCTCTGCATCAGAACCATTACGTGTGGTCGAAAAACAAATAATCGTTTCATTTACCTAACTCAAAACAAGCCATTCAAATCTAAATAACATGTCGCTTTGATTTGGCTTTGTATAGTAGGACATTGACCACAGTAGTGTGGGCTGGCTTATATAATCTCCAAATGTTTAATAGCATCAATTGTAAAATAATGATTGCCACATGGTGACAATGTTTCAAGATCTTGTCTTTACTCATGCTATGTGTGTGGGGAACGCTTGTATTTTGTGATTCAGAAAACCAATACGATATCATATAACAATTCTCATTATTGTACTTCTCTCTCTCTCTCTCTCTCTCTCTCTCTCTTCTTTCTTCTCCCCCTCCTTCTCATCTTCCTCCATTTTTTTCCTTTCTCCAGAGCAAAATCAAAGAATGGTGGTCGATATCTCCGGGAGAGGCTGGAGAAGATCGGCCTTAATTTACCGGCAGGAAGGCGAAAAGCTGCAAACGTCACCTTATTTACCTCACTAGTAGAAGGTATGTATACAAACAAAATGGATATAATGCTAAATGTATTACTCATTGCGGATACAGTATCGAAAATAATATCGCTAGTGACATTCGTTTGTCTAGCAATGTAGGGTCAACACTGGATCAAAAGATCACGACGTTTCGTGCGCCGCTGCAAACACTTCGTCAGGTGATATCACCTGACGAAGTCAGCACGAAACGTCGTTGACCATACATTGCGAGACAAACGAATGTCACTAGCGATATTATTTTCGATAAAATAGATATGTTTGTAAATTAATGATCGGGTCAACCATACCATAACTGTGACTTATTTGCGCAGGCAGGGTAATTATTATTACCCCCATCATTTGCAAGGTACCCGGTTACACCTTGGTGGGAAGGGCACTCATGTGGATTGACATAATGTAATCATTTTGTCGGAGGATATAAATGCCGGGCTAGGATTCGAAACATCTAATCTTGGAATGAACTTCAATTGAATGAACTACTATTATAGATCACACCACTATATACAACAACACCTTCATCATTGTATTCATAACACATTCATAATGATGCGTCAATAAAATGGTATAACCTAAACGGAACAAGGATTCCCATGTCTATGGCTGTATAGTTCCCTTTTAAAACCAAGACATAATCATGATAAAAGTGGCTGTTGAGAACTCACATTAATCGGTGAAATATTGTTTTTACATTATTTATTGTGAATAGTTATCATCATGATAATGGAGTCAAGATGGAAATGAAGGGGAAAAACGCTTTACAAGAAAGAATATGATATATCCTGTTCCTTATGCTAATGTTTCTCCTCTCCTCCTCCCCTCCTCCTTCTCTTCCTCCTCCTCCTCCTCCTCCTTCTCGGTCTCCTACTCAACAATATATTCCTTCATCAGTCTTTACATCTGGATCATGAGTCTGTCATATCGCCCTTTTCATTTCAAAGTTACACTTAAATAAAACTAGGTGGTTAGATTTCTCAATTCGAAATGAATCTCTTTTAATGACGCTTGGATGCCTCAACTTTCTTTCCGAATGTTTGACAAAAAAATGTTGAAACCCATTAGGAAAATTAAGAGTCGCTTGAACATGTCGTTGTTGATCTTGATATAAAAAAGACGCTTATTTCTCGGGCTCATAAACCTCTGATCTTTTTAAAAATCATTCTTCTGGATAACTTTTCGATTCGTAAATCGAACGCCACTGACAAGGCAGAAATTGCACAAAATCCAGCTTTCAAACCGTCCACCTGCGTTTTAGGAATATTTGATTCTGTTTGCATGTAGTTGTTGAAACCTTTAAAATGCAGTAATCCCCTGCAGGGTTTATAGGTAGCTTATTATCAAAGGCAAACCCCTTAAAAGATGATCTATATATATTTTTAATCTTCTAAATTTTTAAGAGATCGGCTAATCCGGATGTCGATATTGCGATTTGGATTTTGTTACTGAATCTTATAAATAGAGTATAGGCAAAATTCGGCTTCAGAATTACTCTCTTCTTTCTCCTCCTCTTCTTTATTTTTATCCCAATGTGTATTTTATTCTCATTATTCTTTCTCTTTTCTAAACATAATAATCATAAGAGGAAAGCGGAACGGCCCCTTACTGCCCAGCAGTTACGGAAGAGGGATATAGAATAGTGTTATGAATTATAGAGAGGTGGAGACAGAAGGAGAGGTGAAGAAGAAAAGCAATCAGATAATAACACCCCTGACAAAACAAATTGAAAAAAGACATAAAAGTACAAACATATATAACAAATAAAACTAAACAAAACAACGTAAAGCAATACATAATAATTTAATAATCTTCATTTATGTTCAATATCTTAGATAAATATAATAATAATAATCAAGATAAAGTGATCAACATTATAAAATTTGCTTTTACGTATTAAACGTTTTTTATTTCAACCCAAGCATGTGCTTCTAAATTCAGTACAACTTAGTTTTACCAATCGTGGTATAATTTTACCTTGTGACTGAAATGGCAGTATTCCTGCATGTTATTCTATCTTTCGAGTAATGTCGGCCGATTGATAACATTAATAATCGTGTCATATTCCCAGCAAAAGATCTAAAAAAAAGTATTTCCGCCCGCGGCCTTGATGTAAGACTACACATCAAGGTCAGTATCACAGCTATCGTCACCTTGTATGTCACCGATACCAAGGCACTCCGCCATTATCGATTGCATCCAAGGTCACGTGCGTCGACGACTACGTCTAATTGGGCGAGACAAATACCTTAGATAGTATCGTTTACTCATTATCGTAGCTGTGATCTGTTGTCGTTAGATTGTAATCATTTCGCGGTTGGCTGATTATTTTTGTCTTTGGAGTAAACTGAGGTATCATAATTCAGTCCTGTGACACAAGTGGGCACCCTCCCCTCAAGAATGAAAAAAAAAAACATAATAACGGATGTTTCTAATTTTGAACTTCATCTATTTATTGCATTGCCCCTAGTCATTTCTTTTACCAGAGACATACCATTAGTAACATTTCTGTGATTTGACTTTCCTTTCGAAAAATGAAGTGGGTATCTATCTAAGCCTATCTAGGCCCATGTAACCCATGCCATTATTCACTGGAGCGGAATAATAAGTTTTCTACCGATCCGGAGTGAGAAAAAAAAATCCGAAATATGATCGAGGTATCGTTACGTATTCATCTCCTTCTGGCTGGCAGAGTTTAATGGGATAAGCAAAATTGTTTAGTTTGAGAAAGAGATGTTTATTATTTATATTTCCTCAAACAGTAATAGGTCCAGAATATTAAAGTAGAAAGATCCTGATTTTGATAGAAGTGATTTTATTTTCCACCAATTCGTCTTCGAGGCGCACGAATGGGATTCAGTGACAATGAAATAACTCAATGTCAGTCAGAATCCAAAACAACCTCAATTCCCCCACCATCATGACCAGGTATTTAGTGAGTGAAACGATGCCATGCCCAGAGCGACACATTATGATAGCTGGGTCATGACATCACTGCGTAATCATGAATGTAATGCTCAACTAACAGCAATCGGAGTACACGGTGATAAGACACCGTCGCCATCTTTATTACGTTTCTCGGGGTTCCCCGAACACGCCGTGCGCGTTTATCAGTTAGCTCACCCGCGGTTGAGTCATCGCCTCCTTGGCCATGTCCATCCCCGAGCGTTGCCCGAGGCTTGCCTACTCCTCTGCCCACTCGGGGATAGTCTTGAGACGGGGAGATTTCGATAAATTAAGAAGAAAATACCACATCGGCCAAAACAACATAGCTTTAGTGCTATTCAAGTAGCTCGAGTAGACTCGTTCGGCCATTTCCGAAAATTGTTGACGGAGATTTGTTGTCTTCATGAGCGCTCTTTTCCTGTAATGATTGGACTGAAAGGCCATTAACACTCCATTTTAGCTTCCGGTGTTTCGACCTCCAAGAAATATTGCGTCGCTGCTAATTCCCTAGGCCTTAATCTCCCCAAGTTTGTAAAAATATGTGATTATTAACACCAAAACGTTATCATTTAAATGATTCAAGATATGAAAATCGCTAAATTATGATGTTCTGTTCCTCAACAATAACAAAAATATGTCATGTACTTTATTAGTTTGTATATCTTTGAGCGAAGCAAAATTGATATTGCATGTACAGAGCCTTATATCGGAATCAACAAAAGTAATTACCTTATTAACGGCAGATTATGCTGCAAAAAAAGATTTTCATTGTGGTTTTACTTCCGGGATTGATAATTCATTGTTGAATGGTAGCGTCAAAGTAATATTTTAATCTGCCTAAACCTCTGACCTCATGGATTGTGTCGGTTGTCAAATTGCCATTTTTATTTGCATTCGTCATCCGTCATATTTATCAAGAGTACAGGCTTTTGAATGTGACATCATGCATCAATGATGTTGATCGCTCAAATCTTTTAGGATATTGATTTTTCAGATAAGTTTCATAATTCAACTTATTTGGCCTGATTATCGATAATTTCCTGGCTATGGTTTACCTATTCCCTCAATTCTCTTGTTTCTACCTTAATTGGTTTAAGAAATTACTTCCTTCCGAGGTCTATTGTACAGTTGTTTAGAAACCGATTCAGGGATGGTGGGTAGCCTGGAAGTGTCGGCATAGAGGAACTATTCATTGCATATTGTAGTGTGTTCTAAACCAATATATCATTCGTATAGTAAATGTAGGATCGCAGGAAGAAAAAAAAACATGCCTCCCCTCAACAAGAAAAAAAAAGGAAATCGGAAAACTCAGAAAGTTGTTGAAGAGTGTATGGGGAATCGGGCAAATGAGAGAGGATTTGGAAGGAGAGCGGTTTTTCCCCGAGAACCTATCCGCATGAATACGTGGGTAACCCGAGAACTCGCCGAATTCCCTACCCGAATCTCACCTTTCCATGGCCATCACTCGATCCAGCTAAAGTTTTTCCAGCCTGCGGCTTCTTGGACGATTTCTGAAGGAGAGGAAGGAAGAGGAGGGGAAAGACAGTGCTGAGAAGGGAAAAAAAAGAAAATGGGAGTTCAATTCGAAATTTCGATAGATATAGAATAGTGTTTGAAGAAAAAAAATTGGAAGAAACAAAGAAGGGTTGACACAAAGTGAGGAAGAAAAAAGTAGGTTGATTATTATAAATAATAAAACAACAGCAATCAAACCAGAAAAGTGACGAATTAGTATTCCGTTCTTTGTGCTCTTTTTAATAATCCATAATCAGAAACGATATGCTGGCATTCTCGGTTATAACACAACAGTTTCGTTTTTGTCATCATGGGCATTGTCCTTGGTAGCCTTGCAGAATGATTCAGATGGGTTAATATCGATAACAACGATCTAACGATGAGATGTATCGTTAAAAATTGGTTTAAGAACATAGAATTTATGGTTATTAATATTTGCCTTGGAATCCTTGCTATTTGACAGTGTAAGAGATTTTTACGATAAAAATAAAATGTTTGCTGAATTTCCACTCCTATACACCTATGGGCTCTTCCAAATACGAG